GGGAAGATCTGCCCTCATACCGTTTATGGCTAAAAATGTTTTCATGTCCAATTTTAACAGTGTTTTTCCAGCGTGAAAATTTCAGTGATTAGCACTGTTGGGTTGGGAAAATAAATTGTGTAATTTTCGGATCTGTACATGGTGATGTTGCCTGGAGTCCTGTCAGAGTGCATCGGCAGAGCAGGGCCCGCAGGTGTCTGGGTTGGATTCAGAGGCATGGAGCGTAGGGCTTAGGTATGCTCTAGGAAAGTGGGGAGGCATGTAGAATACAGCAGGTGCCTTGAATCACTTCCATGAGTCCTGTCTGTTCACCCAGGATTCTACGAGTTTCACTTTTTCATTCCATTTTGTTGTTGTTTTCTCACTTCAGGATCAATTTGAAAACTGTAACCTGTCGGTTAAGTCTGTCTTCATGAGTAGCTGTTAGAGACAAGCAGCAGGCATCCATACCACGCCATGTGCAAAGCAATTGTTCTTCTCTGGGATTTCATTCAGTAGATTTACCTTCATAAGGACTGGTGGAACAGTGGCTGACTTTAAGTGGGTGGAGTCTTAAGGAGCAAAGATTTCATATGTCTGTCTCCATATTAAGAAAGGAAAAGGGTTTTTAAAGAGCAGTTGTCTTCGTTTCAGTGTGATTCTACAGTTTCAGTGGGGAGGTGATGGGGCAAGTGTTTTTGTGTCAGCTTGCCCACAGCTCCCTGCCACTCTGCCTGTCTAGGGCTTGGTCTCCATCTGAAAGTCTGTCACGTTGCCGAGAGCTCCTTGGCACCTCTCTCTCTGAGATTCTGCCTTTGTCCCCATCCACATCAGAGTGACAGCTATGGTTCAGCTGTTGACTCATCATGGAGAAAATAGGTAGAACCTACTCATTGCTGTGATATTTTGTAGACTACTATGGGAATAAAATATCATTTAGTTCTATTTGTTTAAAAACAGCTAGCTTAAAATAAGAAATGCTCATTTTCTCATTGTAAATATACAGGGGCCAGTGACAAATAAAATCAAGGTTTTTACAGAGTTAAATCATACGATTAATTATAAATCATTATTCCCATTCTAGAAGAGTTCTATTTGTGCGATAATCATTAGTGTTGGAATATACTGATGTCAGATGACTCTTAGAAGAGGTTCACCTTATCTTGAGCTGAATCCTGGCCTTTGATGCAATCCCAGGTAAGGAGTCCGGTATTGTGCGAGTGTCTCTAGACGTACACACAGGTGACATGGCCGTCTTTCCCATCGTCTCCTTGGGAGGCTCGAGCTCCCTTTTTCAATCGCTGGGTATAAACCAAGCATCTGTACTCTGTACTGACCCCACCATGTGAAGTTGAAGGCAGAGCTGATTTCTGTCCTGAAGTTGTTCTCGTTCTGACTGTGAGACGCAGCCTCTGTGCTGAGAAACTGCCCACCCAGTCCTCCCCTGAGCTGCAGCCCCGCATCAGAGGTGTGCAGGCTGTGTTACTCGCCTCCTGCCATGCCAGGTGCTCCCTGAGCTGCCTTCTGTCTGACCTGTATCACAGAGATGCGGATCACTGGCAGTCCTGGGGGGGCCGCCCTGTCCCAGGCCACCGTCTCGCTAGGTGCCATGGGCTCTTAGTGGCTGTCCCTTCTGTGCACCTGCACCTCCCTGCATTGGGTCGGTCCTCACCACCCTTTATACCAACATCCGAGAAATCTCTCCTCATCCCTTAAAGATGGTGTTATCTACCCAGGATAACTAACATTCTCTCTTTCTGAGCTTTGCTTTTTTACCAAAAGATAGGAAAGTAGTGATCTTTGAGAGATAGGAAAAGCAAAAAGTTTTTTCCTTTCACTATGCAGAAATCCCTGAGGAATATCAAAAGCTTTGAGTATCTGGACACCTGCCTGAAAGGAGACAGGATAGGAGGAGAGAGAAACAAAACTTATCCCGGCACACTTTGTGACAAAGGAAGGAAAGAGAGAAGAAGGCAGCAAGGAAGATTAGCAGGAAGGGAGGTGGAGAGGGAAGGGGAAATGGCTAAGGAAAGACATTTCTCAAAACCTGAATAAATCCCAGCAGAGAGGGCTGACCTATAAACAAATAACTGCTGTGAGCTTTTATAGAGCATCACCGCCACGATTCTCATTCCATCCAATTTTTCTCTCAGAAAAGACACAGAAGTGAGAGTTAGTGAGAGCTGGGGTCCTGAAACACGCCCTGCATCAAGTCACACTGTCTTGGCGCACTTGAGTTTTCTCTTCTGTAAAAAGGGAGCAGTGCCACTTGTCTGTGTGTCAGACAGGAAAGCATTTGTGCTTGGTGAACTGGGAAGCAGGTCGCAGACTTCCTTGATGGAGTGCAGACAGAGGCGTGAGGATGAACGCAGGGTCCAGAGCCCTCCCCTGCCCCCTCCAGGCCGCGTGGGACCGCGGTTCCCACGTCTGTAAAATCTAACTCCGTGGTGGTGATGTGGAGAAACAGGACTATCTTTCTAAATCTCTGTGAGGCAAACAGGGGTACGTTTGTTCTCTCTTCTTGTTAGGCGAAATAATTGAAGTTCAGAGAATTTCAACAGTTTGATCAAGGGTATACAGTAGTAAGTGAAATAACCAGAGGAAACTTTATATCAAATATGAGTTTGATGTTTTAAGATAAGTTATATCAGGTAACTTCGAACAGGAATTCTACATATGTTTGGAGCCTAAGAGATAAATATTTGAAATATATGTATAGATGAGATCTATAGAAAGATTTCTTTGAAACATTCAGATATATTTGTTCTTAGGCACTTAAAGAACAACAACAAATATATATTTATAGATATATATATCTATATGTAGCTCCTATTTTATTACCAACTTCTGTAGATAAATAATATTATCTTTTGTCATATTAATGACTCAGGAGAAGGGAATAGCTAATTGAGTTTTTTTTAGTTGTACCATTGGGTGACTCATGAGACCTAGATGTCACTATTATCTTTTGTAAGCGGTGCATATTAAAATTTTAACAATGACAGTTGCCAGCTCTAGTCACCTATTAACACAGGACATAAAGCAGGGTTCACTTCTTGTGTCTCCCACATTTTGCTCTCCGTGTTCCCCCTGGCAGATAATAATAGATGTGTTTTTCCTGTGGAAACTTCCTTGATTGTCAGTATATCTCCAAGGATATAATCATGACATATTAAAAAACCATCATGTAAATTGTAATCATCACCTCCCTCACAATTTCCAGAATATTTCTACTAAGGAGGATTTTTCTTTTAAAATGTTGATTGGGAGTTTCTTGGCTTGGGCTATGATAATCATATGCAAATTGTTTTATTTGCTAGATTCTTAATTTAAATCCAGGATTATAGCAAGGCTTGGTATTGGTACCATTTCAAGGAGATGGTTTATAGTTCTACACGAGGAAATTATTTGTTTAAATTATACTGAACTCACAGTTTGAAAACTGAAGTAGGATAAGGTAGACGATTTTTTTCCTGCTCATAAATACATTTAATGTGTATGTAACCTGAGCACATAGTTTGATCTTGTGATCTAAGTATGTATTCAAAATATAGTTACTGTTTAAAATGGTGAAAAATGTATATATACTCATGCCTTTTCCCTTTGTGCTGGTAGTAGTAGAAGTGCAGAATGAAGTTATATTAAAATTGTTGTTAAAAAGAAATGCTTGTTCATTTTTACCAGACTTACATCTTTTTTACATTTTATGTCCATCTTCTTTTCAATTTTATTCAGAAGATTTCCCCCTTATTTTCTTTCAGTAGCAGGCTAACTCTTGAGGACTTGATCAGAGGGTGGGACTCAGCTTGGTAAAGAGGAGCCACGAAGTCACAGTGTGATTATGCCCTTAAATACTTAAATCCATTTCAGGCATTGCCCTTTTTTTCCAATAGCTGCATGAACTTTAAAAACATACATTGAATAGTTTTAAATCTAGCTGATAGACGTAGGTTATTTGTCATTGTATTCAATATTATTAGAGTAATAGTTTTTAATTTTTATGGTACTAGCAAAGCTTTTTGAAACTTTAGTGGAATGTGTACAGTACATCTCTTGACTTCCAAATCAGTCACAATCAACGAACTTGCGTGCACACATGTCCTGGTCTGGTTTATTGCTCAAGTGTGACCTAGGCATTCGCTTTAGAATGGGGAGATACAACGCCCAGAAGTAGATTCGGACCTGCCGAACTGCGTCGTGTGCGTGGAATGGCCGGTCACTCGCAGACCTCCCTTCACACACAGTGTACTCTGTTCTCCTGCCAAAACTCTCAGTGGTGGATCTTTCTCTCGGAAAAGTGTGGTGGTTTCTATGAGAACTGTGTTATCTTGCCAGTTAGGCAGGTGATGATGGCGCCCTCTCTTTCTTGATAAACTCTGGGGAATCGAAACACAGTGGAATTTTGTGACTTTAAGTGATTTTTCCAAAGCTATGCAGTTACTTAGTATCGAACCTACAACTGTCTGTGGGTATTTTGATTTAAAAAGTTGTAGGCTTTGTCTAGGTGTATTTGTTACAGTTTAGTTCCCCAGGTTATATTTGATTTGCCCTGTGACTTTATTTTTGGATATATTCATTCTCATTCATTTCCTTTTTGTCTTTCTCTTTTTCCCTTACACCTTCCCTCTTTCTCCTTATCTGTGTCTGTCTCTCTTTCTCTTGCCCCATAAATACATTTAATTTGTATAGAAAGCATTTACAGAAACTGAGATAAAGTGAGCCACACTAATTTAGAGCCATCTCCAAATGGCAAGAACTTACTGGAAAAATTATTATCAGCTGGGTAGATTTGTCTTAATTAGCCAGACTGTGCTACATATTATTTCATTGATACTCTGATATTTTTTTCCCAGATTGGACACTCATAATTGAACCAGATTTCATATATGCAAATTTCAACTCTGATGAAATATTGCTTTTCTCAGCTCTGAAAATCACTATGCACTTCTGGAAATTAAGGTAGCTTATAAGAAGAAGTTACATTCATGATAAGAGTTATTTTCTTTCTTTCTGTTGGCTAGGTTTTTCTAGATATGACATTCGGTTCAGGAGGACACACAAAAGCCCTTCTCCAGGAGGAGCCGGATATTACTCTGTACGCCTTAGACAGAGACCCGACAGCTTGTGCGCTAGCCGAGCAGCTTTCAGAGCTATATCCGTAAGTAATGTGCTTGTATTTAATTTTGTTGCTTAGTTTTATAGCGCTTAGTTTACCATGTTGGGATTTGTTCTACCTTGTATGATGTTCTTTTTCTGTTTTTCCCACTAAATATTTCCTCCCTTTTCACCCAAAAGGAATTAATATAATTAATGTTTTCAGTGACAGAGTAAGGATATCATGGGATCTATCTTTTCTGTTTTGGTAACAAATACAAAAATGACTTCTGGCCCCAAGATAGAGTGTGTATTACAGTCCATTCACCAATAATATTTTGATGAATAACTCATTGTAAAAATACTAATTTTGGTTAGGCAGGTGCTCACCTATATCACTACCTACTCAGGAAGGGGGCTGAGCTAGGGGGGTCATTCAAAACCAGGAGATCAAAGACATCTCCAGCAACCCAGGAATGCCCCTTTGGGGGGAAAAAGTCAAAATGTGTGCTAGTACCTTTTGAAGAATTTAACGGAGTAAATAAGTAGTTGAGAATTCCCTGGAACTCGCGATGTCGTGTACAGCAACAGAACGCCCTTGTTTTCTGTAAGGGGTTTCTGCAATGCACAGGTAAATTTAGAGGAAGCTGCTGTCAGAATTAGTGAACTGTCACTGTAGAACTTCTAGAAATAGAGAAGATTGTCTTAATGGGTAACTGGCCTTCAGATAAAGAGTTTTGCTTTGGGAGTAAAATCTACATGATATATTGTTTAACAGCCATTATTGTACCAGAGAAAAATACCATGGAGAAAAGGAGTGTCTTCAAGTCAGGGGCCATCTGCAGAAATGAGCTGTTTTATCGCCGCATGGTATAGAGACTGGAATCAAGGCCCCCGTGGGAACGTGAGCTAGTTTCAGAGTTGTAGCTGTCCCAAACTGTAATGGTCTCTTGGGTGCACTAGCAGCGGCATGAGCACGGAAAAGGCAGTGGGTGACTAAGGGTGGTGGGTTACGTTTCACACGTGTAACTCCTCTCAGGCCCCAGACTTCGTGAATCTAATGCATGCACTTAACTCTCTCAATGGAATTGTAAGTAAATATGTTAGGCTTCTGTTTGAAAAATCACAAGGTTTTTTGCAGCTCCTGAACTGCACTAGGTTATTTCCTTTTAATTATAATGTGAGAATGTAGTTTAACAATACAATTGTAATTTTTTTTGTTGTCTTTTTACTTTTTAAATCTTTCTTCAGCAATGTAGCTGGTATATGAAATATTGAATGAATATTTGAAAGGTATATGTTCTTCAAGATTTTGTTTTACTGGGTGTAGTTTTTCTACCTAACAAGAACCTTCAGGTTCTGCATTCTCTTCAGTTTCAGATGTGAAAACCATTCGTTGGACAGATTTAATAATTTGTGAAAAGGCACATGAGATGTACATGACATAGCAGGGACAGATCTGGAACATGTATTTTGATTCCCAGCCTACTCAAATCATTTTATCACACTGATTTGCTTCAAACATTCTGACCTTTTTCCTTCATCAACAAAGATCCTTTTTCCAAACATAACATAGTCGATAAAGAACAACAAAATAAATAAAAATATACTAGGAAGAAGTAATTAATACTGATGAAAACTGGAATCTGGGAAACTGAAAACAAATGAAAAATAAAAGGAAAGAAGGAAATAAGTGGAAAATACAAAGAGATCTACTTCGAAATAGCAAAATCTGCTTTAACCCTGATTACTAGAACCAATAAAGGTCTGATTAGGATTGCAAGAAGATCAATCATATGGATAGGGTAAGCTATTCATAAGATAATGTAAACCCAAACTCTGGTAAATTACAAAATTTATGTGAAATAAATGGCGTCTTATTAAAATACTGTTAAAACAGACTCAAGCGTAACATTTGAATAGGTCATTACCATGTTTGAAAGATTATTAAAATCCATGGAAAAAATGTACCCTGGCCAAGTGATTCTTTGATTATCTAACTTAAAACAGTTTTTAGTTTATCAGTACGTATGTAGTACATAGCGTCTCCATTCCTGTGAGAATTGGCCCGTGTACACAACACAACTTAATTCTTTTTCATCTCCTGTCCGTTCACTCCCTCCCCTTCCTTCCATTGCTTGGTCTGCCCCTTTTTCATGTACATGTATGCAGTATGGAATGTTTATATTCTTACTGTGTGGTTGGTACATACACATAACACATCCCAATTATCAACCTTTTTAAAAAATAAGAGAGGACAATGCCTTTCACACTACTCCTGACCATGATAAACATGGGAAGTTCTTTTAGTTCATTTTATGAGTCTAGCACATTTTATAACCAAATTGTAACAGAAATAATATAAAATAAAATCATCCTCACTCAAGTAACAATTAAACCATTGAAAAGAAAACACTAATATATCTAATTCACACATTATTTAACTACAAGAAATATACCGTTGTTTTTTGGCCTTTTGGCTAAAATCCAGTGAAGAATAATACATGTCACTTGACAGTGTATATTTCAGGAAAACAAGAGTGGTTCCATGTAAAAATCCAGTCAATGATAGGTTAATAATCGTGACAATAATTAGCTCACTATTCTTATGTAAAACTTCCAAGTTAACAGGAGACTATAAGGAAAATACTTAAGTTTAAAATACCATCTTAACCAAGCACAAACAACATTTATTTATGTAAAAGCTGTAAAATACTATTAAACATAGTTTAAGTCAAATTTTAATATAAATAGAATTTACTTTGTAAGTGTGATTACTCAGTAGTTTTGGAAGGTCTGAAAAATTAATTTTTAAAAAGATTAAAATATTTTCTTATAATGATTTGACTGAATAATTAAACTCCCAAAAGACTTATAAAATTAATAAGATTATATAATACCTTGTTTATATAAAAAATTTCAAATCCAATCAAATGGTAATATCTAGAAAGGGTAAATAGGGAAGAATACTCCATTCTCAAAAGTATCTAAAATTATACAAAAAATTCCTAAGTGTATATGGATTTGGGGAGATGACAAATTCTTTTTGAGTAAAAAAAAAAAAAGTAAGAACAACCTTGCCTTTCCTGATATCAGGTCGTATTATAAAATCACTATAATGAGATCAGTTTGGCATTGGCATTAAAAACAGGCTGGTTGGGCCGGGGATTTAGCTCAGTAGTTTCGCTGCCTGCTGAGCAAGCGCAAGGACCTGAGTTCAATCCCTGGTACCCCCCCAAAAAAGAACAGGCAGGTAAATAGATTATGGAGAACAGCATCCAGAAATAGAATTCACAAAATAAAAGAATTTAATAGGGATGGAAAGTATTGGAATTCATTAAGAAATAAATGATAGTGATACCTGTCAGGCTTGAGGACAATAAAGTGGACATTTACTTTAAGTCATAATAAAGCCTCACTTCATGATGGAGTGAGACTGTGTGAAAAATTGAAAATGATACTACTTACATAATTTAGGGGTGAGGAACTTCCATAATCACAATTAGAAATCATAAATAAACACTAGCCATATCTGGTTATGTAAATTCAGAAACCATGGCAAAATATTATGATCATTTCCAGTCAATCTGGAAAAGAAATATAAGTGCAGTAATATAGAAGGGCTATTAATATAGAAGGATTTAATATCTATCAGGATGAGTTTTACACATTTGATAAGAAGATCACAACATCCAATTTTACAAAGGAACGAAACATATAAAAAGATGATTCATAGAAGAGGTGATTCATAGAAAAGTTGCTTCAAGTCAGAAGCAGTAACGAAGGAGATAAAATAACAATGGTATAACATCCTGGAGAAACACAGTTTTGCTAATAAAGATATGGAGAAAAGGATATTCTTCTCTATTTTTAGTGGACATTATATAATATTAAAATACATAATTTACCTTGAGTCTGCCTTATTTAAATATAAAAATCGGCATCTAAGCAAACATATCCTTAAACTTATAATGTGTATACTGCATTGTTTGCATATATAATTGCAGAGAACTTGAAAGGGAATGGGCTCAAAGTGGAGGGAGGTTGAAGGAAAGGGTCAGCAGTTTAGAAAAGACAAACCCAGAGATCGTATGGTCATAGCTCTGGAAACTTAGGTAAATTAGCAAATAGTCGTGCTATATATTATGTATGAGTTCATACTTAGGTTGTAATAGTGTAAAATATACCCAGGAAAGAAAAATTTAGACACAGTTATTTCTGGGGTTAATAGATAAATGGATAGTTGACTGGAACAACAAATTAGATTATCATCTTAAAAATAAATTCGTAATTCAAATTTGTGGTAAAGGACACATTTTGTCATTTTTCACATGAATATCCTTTGAGGAAATACCGTGATTTCTTCCTTTTAGTTATTTATTTTGTTCTTATTAAAAAATACAACTAAAAAGTTCAAATTCTTTTCTCTGTAAAAACTAAGGCAGAAATAGAAACTAACAATTTTCACAGAAATCTAAGCACTTCAATGGAAGGCTAAATTTTGCGTTAACCCATTTTAGCTCTTTCAGAAAAGATGACATTTTAGATCACCTGTTGTTTGAAACTGAAGCTTTACCTCATTGCCTTTGAAGGCTCCATAAGAGAAGAATTTAAATTGGAGGAAGGGAATGTTGGGTGTTGATTGACTTCTAACGTTGTGCAACATGGATTTTGGTTGATAATTTTAAAAGATTGTTTTTTTTCTTGTGTCTTGAGGAACGATATGTACTTTGTGTACGTTTAGAGAATTTAGCCGTTTTATAAAGAAGAAAATAAAAGCCATAAATGATTGCATCATTTTGCTATAATTTAAGAATGTAATAACCTGTTATTTTCAACAGTTTATGAAAGTAGATTTGCTCACTGGGGAAACAAAAATTATACTTATCCATATTTCCACAATCTAAGAGAATTAGCATTGATGATTTTGTATAATTCACTATCTTTTTAATTGTCAATATTTTATTATATTGTATATATATATTTCTTTTTCAAACTTTCTTGGAAATTATTTTGATCAATTGTATTAAATATCTAATTAACTTGGAAATAATTGACATCTTT